TTATTTTTGCTTTTTCCAAACAAAATATTATAGCCAGAAAGCCACATGGGCTCTACACATTGTAGGATTAGGGGGAAAAAAATCACAGCAAGACAAAAAGCAACTGGGGTTCTCTACCTGTCACACATTTGTTAAAAATATGACATTATAAAGCTTATTTCAATACCTTTCAACATTATATACTTGAAAAGCACTAGTAGAAAATGGCATTTCTGTGGTTGTCATCCAATTTGTCCCATTGTATGTGCTATTACAGCCGTGGGTTTCAAGGCCTAGTGGCATAGTTCTCTCAGGAAGTGGAGGATAAAGTTGAGCTCCAATTCCAACCCACAAAGAAATGGCAAATCCAACCAGCAGACCAGCAATTGCTCCCTGCAAAACAAATACTTTTAAAAGAAATACAGTAAACTTTGCTTTGAGATGGAAATTAGCATTAGAAGGTTAAGCTCAACATGGTCCAAGGGCACGTCTCTTGTCAAGGGCAGCATGGACCCCTGGTCCATCAGCCCAGGGCCCTGGGGACTCTGTAACCCCCTCCCTTTTTCATATCCCTATCTAGCCAATCACCAAGTCTCATGGTTTTTTATTTTTATATCTCTCATAATTCCATTCCTTGCACTCTGTTTCCATGGCCAGCACTGTGTTTTGGCCTCCCTTGTCTTTTTACACCCAAGTAACTACAACAGTCAACATAGTCACCTCCAGGCCAGTTGTCCCCTCTGTTTTTATTTCATCTGTGAACAAATGGCAAGTTATATGAGCAACAGTCTATGAAGAAAGCATACATGAGTTTATTCCTAGACCTAACAACATGCGTGATTATCATTGTACTTCAGTCTTTAGGGGGAAAATAGCCAGCAGTTTTCACAAATGACTGCAGTGCTGCATACAACCAAACCAAGCATTTCCAGAGATAGCTGGAGATGTCCTCACTGAAGACATTTGGTTTCCCAGCCTTTGGAAGACTTGGGTCCCTACTTCTGCTTTTCACCAGTAATGTAGGTGTTCTGCTAGCCCTTGAATGATTTAAGCCCCAGCTCCAGATCATGGGGACAAAAGCAAATGTTGAGCTGAAAGCCCTTCCCTTCCTCTGTGGTGAAATTTCCAGGTTTCCTTTAAGAATATGATCAGACATGGCAGCCTGTGCCGCAGGCTCCATAAAGAGAAAACAGGAGAGAATATATGATGTAAGGGGAAAACATAAGCAAAATCATAGGGTAGAAAAAAAATGGTGTGTTGATGGACAAACAAGAAGCCTATTGACCAAATCAGAGGATTTATACTGGGGACAAGGACTGTGAGCTCCTTCATTAAGTTATGAACTATTCAGAACAGAATTAGGTTCCTTTTTTCAGTACCCCAGCACTTACCACAATGCTGGACATATAGCAGACATGCAAGAAATATTTTTAATAGCATGAGGTGAGAATAGTAGATTGGCCAGCTTTTAACAAGGCCAGACTTGCTTACTCTCTGCATTGTACATGGTTTGATTAAGGATTCACAGAATTATGAAACCCATGCGCACAGAAATATTCAGTTCTCTCTACTCCCAAGATAGTGCTCACCCCATAAATATTGAATGAATGAATGAATGAGAGGAGGGAAGGAAAGAAAGCAGGAAGGAAGTAATGAATAGAAGTGAATGAAAGGAAGGGAGGAAGGGGGAGAAAGGAAGGGAATGAGGAAGGGAGGAAGCCCACTCCAAGGTAAGGATAGATATTCTGCTGGTGAAAAACATGGATATAGTAAAAAAGAAGTAGTTCTTGTGACAGGAATAATAGTATCTTCTTCCCCTGAAAAAGGGTGTTTTAGATCTAGTCAGGTACAACTGTTCTGGAAGCAACTCACAGAGGCAACATATGTCAAAAACCAAGTCAGTCTGGCCCTTGCACTGTTCACTATGTAAGAACTTATTCACTATGTAAGACCTTGTTCACCATGTAAGAACTTGTTATGCTTGAGAAGATTGGAGACTGTTGAGATATAGGCTTGGGGTTGATTAATGACTGTGCATTGAGTCCCCTATACAGAATTTTATTGTTGTTAACAACCATTTGATCAATAAATATGAGATGCCCTCTCAAAAAAAAAAACCAAGTCAGTCTGTTTCTAATGTTTCAGACACTCAACAAACCATTACACATTTCATAATGGAAAGAGTATAATCAAAGCTTCAACATTCTAAGGAGGAAACAAACCACTCTTTTATTGTGAAACCAAAACAGCCCTTTTAACATCTGCCTTACAAACTCCTAGTGCCTCAAGAGGGAAATAGATTCCAAATGCAAAGTCATAACTCTACAGTTATTCTGTATCTGTCTGAAACAACTATACCTACATGATCAGTTTTTCCTGAACTTAACTTTTAGCAGGATGGAACCAGTGAAGTTTTTCCTGGTTTCCAGAGAAATAATTCAAATTTGTTCATTCCAAACACAATTTAGCACATCAAAGTAGAGATATGTCTATATAGAACACAGATATTACCTCTTTCTGGATACTATTCCCAATTATGATTACCCTCAGGGGCTAGAACCATGTTGTTGGAGCTACAGGCCATGGTGGTGAAGATCTTATCATATTGCTTCTCTTTGCTGTACTCTGGCTATTATTCACAGGTATCCTCAGCTCTACTGTCCTTAAATCTCTCATATCTGATCCTCTAAACCTCTTTCTTTATGTCCTAACCCTTAATTTTCAAGAAGGGCCAAAAGGTAAATACACAAATAAGTATTTTTCCTTTTGTTATACATAACATTCATAATATATCACAACATATATATCATAATACATATCATACCATATCATTTCATATGTATCTTTTAGTTATGTTATATATTATATAATTATATTGTATAATGTATAATATAATAATTTATATTTATATAATTTAGAAATCATTCAGGCAGTATCCATTCAGCTTAACACATGTACTGTCTCAATGCATAGTACTTCATTGTACACCCAGCAAAGTCAATATAAATAATTTAAGTCATCAAGACAATTCACAAATGACAGATATCAAAGGAACCATTTATTTTTATTGAGAAAAATTATAGAGCTGCTACTATAGTTGGGAAAGTTAGCTTCACACATATTCATTCTTTATACTTACAGTTGAGTTGGCAAAGGGAACCAAAATGCCCAAAGCAAACAAGCCCAGAAGGGGTCCACCGACCATGCCAAATATGCTGAGTGCAGCCTATGAAAATAATAAAAAATCTGGATTTGAGATTGCTAATTGCCAGTTAAAAATGTCTTGAAGAAATCTCATCAGGATGACGGTTTAAAGTATTCAGATTCTTCTTTAAAATCATGAAAGTCTTGTCACTGACAAAGACGTAATCAGTGCTTAGAAGCTTCTGTTTCTCAGCCTCAGGTATCCATCTGTTCACTCAGGTGAATAAAGGAATAAAGGAAGCAAAATGTAAAGGTGGATAATCATGAGACAATGAAAGCACCTATACGAATTAAGTCAAGAGGGACACTCCTCCTCGCCCAGCAGTTCCAGACATTAATAATCAATCACATCATCTCTCTGTGCTTTGTGCTTTGGCAGGGAAGTTTCAGGTAGCATTTGGGGTGATCAGACAGATGGGTATTTATGAACCAATATATAAATAGGCACATTCAACCTGAATTTATAAAATGCCTTAGTCCTAGATAGGGCAGTAGGTATCAGATATTTGATACAATATTGAACAACAATGTTATAATCTTCACCTTCATGGAATAATGAACCATTTAGTAAAACAGACATTAAAGAAATAACTGCAATAAAGTATGGCAATGGAGATGATAAGAGAAATACAAGGTGCTCTGGAAACATTTGGCAGAGGGGAACTCAAACTTGTCCAGAGAACAAAAGGAGTCTTTTCAAATAATAATGTTTAAGTTACAACCCAAAGAATATAATTCTTAGCTGAAGGGTGCCCCAGACAGAAGGAAGAATTGGTGCTGAGGTCTGGATGCTAAAACAGGGAAGTGTACACAAAATTCAGAAAGAGGACACTATTCCAAAGATTAGTCTGTCTTCTCCATTCCAATACCTCCAGAGAAGCAAACGCCACAGTAGGTGAAGGACCAAAAAAATTAAGAAAGGTATTTTCACTTATGGGGAGGTGAAGTAGATGTAATTTTCCCTATTCCTCCTGCTAATTAAAAATTCTGGATATTACATAGAAAAAAACCTAAGAATCTGAAAAGTAGAGAGAAGGCAGACTGGCTAAGGACCTTGGAACTTAAAGAATGACACAGTGGTGAGCTCTCTGAGCTTTCTCTTTGCCCCATATATTCCAGTCTTAGAGGTGAAGAAGCTAGCAACCCCTAAATGACAATAGATGCAGACCAAAACAAAAACAAATGCTCAACAAAAACCTATTTTCTCCAGTCATAAGACTAGAAAAAGAACAACATAGCAAGTAGAAAACTCTTAGACAATAAATGCTCAATTCCAGCCAAATACCACAGAATAAACTATTTTACACACACATTGTAGAAAAGGCCAAGTAAGGAGCCTAGATTGCATCCCCACCAGCCTAAACAAGGCACCCCTTTCCTTCCCTGTTGGGGTAATTTCACAGGAGAACTAGTGGAGAATCAGGATGTTCACATCGCTCAGCAATAACAAAACCACTACCACCATGATGTGAATGAAGACTACTACCACCAAGCAAACAAGAAGCTCCTCCCTTGGGTGCCAGTAGAGGCCAAATGAGGAAGTTGAACTTCTATCTCCACTGGCAGTAATGAGGCAGTGCCTTCCCTTACCCCACTGAAGTGGTGCCAGGGACAGCAAACAAACATATGAGATCTAGGTAAGATCTATAGTCTCATCATATAATATGGAATGTCCAGGTTTCAACTGAAATGCACTTCTTACAGCAGGAACTAGAAGGATTTCAAACTGAATGAAAAAAGAAAATTAATACATGCCAATACAGAAATGACAGAGACATTAGAATTATTTCACAAAGTCTTAAAGCAGCCAGGATAAAACTGCTTCATCAACTGGAACACACTTGAATCAAATGAAAAAACAGGTGGTCTTAGTAAAAAAATAGAAAGCCTTAGCAAAAATGTGTAAAGAAGAACCAAATGGAAATTTTAGGACTGAAAAATGTAATAACTGGAAAAAATATCAATGGATAGGTTCAATAGAAGAATGAAAGGACACAGGAAATAACTAGTGAACTGGAAGACAGACCAATATAAATTACCCAATTTGAACAACAGAGAAAATAGACTTTAAAAATGTGAAATGAATCTCCAAGACCTGTGAGAGTATAACAAAAAAATCTAACATTCATCTCATCAGAATCCTAGAGTAGAAAAGAGAGTGAGGGTGAAAAATACTCAAAGAAATAATATCTCAAGTTCCTAAATTTGGCCTATAAATTCAAAAGCTGAGCATACTTTAAATAGGATAAACTGAAAGAAATATATGCCAAAACACATTGTAATTAAACTTCTGAAAACAGAGGAAAATGTCTGAAAGAGGCAGGAGAAAAACAATACCTACTTGTAGAGGAAAACAGTTCAAATAGCAGCATATTTTTCACTGTAAATAATGGCTAGAAGAAAGTGCCACAATATTTTTCAAATGCTGGGAAAAAAGAACTGTCAACTCAGAATTCTATACCCAGCAAAAATATCCTTTGGATGTAAAGGGCAAATCAGTATAATCTCAGATGAAAGGAAACTAAGAGAATTGGTTGCCAGCAGTCTACCCTAAAAGAATGGCCGAAGGAAGTTCTCTACACAGAAAGGAAATGATAAAAAGAAAGAATCTTGGAACATCAGGAAGAAGAATACAATAACCAAAAATATGGGTAAATATAATAGGCTTTCCTGTACTCTTGAGTTTTTTAAATTACATTTAGATTATTGAAACAAAATACCACCATCTAATGTAATTCAAAATGTATGTAAACATTAAGACAATTGTATTATAAACTGGGTAAAGAGATGTAAAGGTTGGTAAGGTTTCTATATTTGAACTGTTAATATGAAAAACAAGTAGATTGTGGTAAGTCTGTATATATAATGTAATACCTAAAGCAACAACTGAAAATGCTCTATTAGAAGTGAAATTCAAACAACGTAGATAAATCAAAATAGGATTCTAAAAAATGTTCAAGTATCCCATAGAAAGGCAGAGGAAAAAAAGAAAACAGAAAGAATAAACATAAAACAAAAAATATTAGACTTAAGTCTTAACATAATAATAATTACATTAAATACAAAAGTTCTACATACACCAATAAAAAGACAGAAATTGATGGGATAGATTTAAAACATGACCCAACTGTATGCTGTCCATAAAAATTGAAAATGTTATGATACAGGCAAGTTCAAAGTAAAAGAATGAAAAAAGGTGCATCACGCAACCATTAATCAAAGGAGAGAAGGAGCAACTATATTCACATCAGATAAATTAGACTTCAAAGAAAGTTATCAGAGAAGGACATTATGTAATCTTAAAAGGATTCATTCACCAAGAAGACATTAAGAAATCCTAAATGCATATGCATCAAACAAGAGGACTGTAACATATATGAAGCAAAAACTGATAGAACTAAAAGGAAAATAAACAAATACATAATTATAGTTGAGAATTCACCATTCCTCACTCTACAATTAATAAAAATTAAACAGAAAATCAGAGAGGCTATAAAGGAACTCAATGTTACTGTTACTATCAACAAGCAGTACCTAATTGATACTTATAGAATACTACGCCTAATGACAGCAGAGTACACATTCTTTCCTTTTCAAGTGCCCATGGAACTGATACAAAATACCATATCCTGGGCCACAAAACAGACCTCAAAAAATGTAAAAGAATTCAAATCATATAGAATGTGTTCTCTGACCACATTCGGATGAAACTAGAAGTCAGTGGCAGGAAGATAACAGAAAAATTTCCAAACACTTGGAAATACACTTTTAAATAACCCATGAGTGAGGTCAAAAAGACATCTCAAAGGAAATCTTACAAAATATGAACAGTTGTGGGACACAGCTAAACCAGTGCCAAGAAGGATATTTTTAGAAGTTAATGAACACATTACAAAAGAGGAAAAATTTCAAATCAATAATATAAGGTTCCCCCTTCAAGAAAAGCAAATAAACCCAAAGCAAGCAGACGGAAGAAATAATAAAGATAAGAATAAAAAGCAATGACTAAAAACAGAAAAACAATACAGAAAAATCAATGAAACAAAAAACTAGTTCTTTGAAAAATCAATAAAACTGATAAACCTCTAGCAAGACTGGAAAAATTTTAGAGAAAAGATAAAATTATAAATATTAAGGATAAAACAGAAGATATCAATACAGATCTTGAAGTAATCAATTGTATAAGGGAATATTTTGAACAACTCCACACATATAAATTTACAACTAAGATGAAATAGACCAATTCCTTGAAAATACAAATGACCATAATTCACCCAATATAAAACAGGTAGTATGAATAGCCCTATAACTATTAAGGAAATTAAATTCATAATTTTAAAATTCACAAAAAAGAAACACTCAGGCATAGATGGTTTTATCTAGAGTATTCTACTAAACATTTAAAGAAGAATTAATACCATTTACATGATCTCTTCCAGAAAATAGAGAATTCTTCTCAATTTATTTAATGAAGCTAGTATGACCCTGATACCAAAGCAAAAAACATTGTAAAAAAAAAGAACTACAGATCAGTATCTGCCATGAATATAGATGCAAAAATCCTTAACAAAATATTAGCAAACAGAATTTGGAAATATTTAGAAATAATTATACACCATGATCAAGTGAAGTTTGTTCCAGGAGTGCAAGGCTAGTTTAATATTTGAAAATCAATCAGTGTGATTTATTATGTCAAAGGGTTAAAGAAGAGTATCATATTGCTATATCAATTGATACAGAAAATGTCTTTAGCAAAATTAAGCACTCATTCATAATAAACACTCTCAGTTACAAATAAGAATAGAGGAGAATTTCCTCAACTTCATAAAGGGAATTTGCAAAAATCCTACAGTTAACACTATACTTGAGTGAAAGACTGAATGCTTTCTCCATTCAGATTGGGGAACAAGAAAAGGTGTTCACTCTCACCACTCTTATCAACATGATACAGAAGTTGAAGCCAGTGCAACAAGGAAATAGAAGCCATACATACATACATACATATTAGAAATGAAGAAATAAAGCTGTCCTTTTTTGAAGATGACATGATTGTCTAGTCATTGAGTCAGGAACTAGTAAGTGAAGTCAACAAAGTCACAGGATACCAAATAAATATACAAAAATCAATTGTATATCTATTTATTAATGAACATATGGAAACCAACATTAAAAATATAACACCATTTGAAATCACTCAAAAAAATGAAATACTTAGATATAAATCTAACTACATATATACAGGCATTGTACATGATTGTGATGAAAAAAATCAAAGAAAATCTAAATAAATGAAGAAATAAACTATGTTCACAGATTCAAAGGTTCAATGTACTAATGATCTCAATTCTCTCCAAACTGATATACAATTTTAATGCAATCTTATCAAAATCTAAACAAGATTTGTTTAAAATATAGAGAATAGCCTTAACTTTAAATGGAAAGGCAGAAGAACTAGAGTGGCTAAAATAATTTTGAAAAATAAGAATAAAGTGGAAGAATTAGTCTGCCTGATTTCAAGACTTATTACAAAGCTATTATTCAAGACTGTGTGGTATTGGCAGAGAAATAGACATAGATTAATGAAACAAAATAGAGAAACCAGAAAGAGAACCACACAAATATGCCCAACTGATTTTTGACGTAGGTGCAAAGGCAATTCAATGGAAAAAATATAGCTTTTACAACAAGTGGTGCTGGAGCAACTGGATATCCACAGGGAAAGGGAAAAACACATCTTCAACCTGAGACTCCCTCCAATAAGGGAAACCCAGGAATAAAGGGGTAAATCTCTCTGAATTTTTTCTTACAATTGGATGTACAACTACAGTTATCTCAAAACAGAAAGTTTAATTTTAAAAAATTTAAAGAATTCAGTCATTTCTGTTCATTGACATGTCTATGTGTAGATATACAGAGAGAGAAGTCTGGAAGGATGGTCATGTCAACATTTAAAAAAGAAAAAGAAGAATTTAGTGATTATGACTCAAACCTTTGAGGATAAGCTCTTACCTGTAACAAAGCTCCCATTAGTGATGCTAGTGCAGCCATTCCAATACACAGGGCTCCAAATAGGACACCTACATGAACAATGTAAAAATCAGTGTAATCCAGACCCAGAGGATTAGAATTCTCAATTGAATAAGCCTCCACACCTTTGATTCAAAGTAATATGACTGTGATGAAGACTGGCGTGTATATCAGAGCCAGCCAAAAAAAGAAAGAGGTGTTGTCCTACAAGATCAGCAGCGTGCAAAGAGGAAAGAAAAGCCTGATATTGTGTCCCAGGATTAATTACAACATTAGGTTATGTAAGTAAAAAATCCCTAGAATTAACTACGGGGATTTAAAGCTAAGAACTATTGTGTTATTAATCTAATCTTCAAACAAACATTTGTTTTTAAAGGAAGGTTCCAGTCTCTGTTCTCAGTTTGCCAAAAACAGGACACAATTCAGCTCTGTTCTGTACAAGATGAAGGGAGGGGGGAGTAATAAACGTCAGAAATTAGAGTCTTCTGACTTTACGTGTCCTGTTAAACTAGCATAGAAAAACTGCTTCAAGACAAGTATTGTATTTACCCTTCAACTAAATTGTTGCCTACCAATTTCTTTATAGAAATTCTCAAGCCACCACTGGTGGTCAGATTATGGGATTTTCTTTTCTCTTTTGGCTTTCAGTATTTTCCAAATTTTCTCCAAGCACATTTTCTTGTTAAAGAAAAAGTTACCCCCCCCCATATTTTTATTTTTAAAGACTCCCATTCAGCTGAAATCAGCCATATAATTTGCCACACATAAAATTCAAAATACAGAAAAAAAAGATTTAGAGATTTGCTCATCATAAAATTATTGCATTCCTTTCATTATATACTTCCTATCTTTGTTACACGAGTACTCACACCTGTTAAGTTTACTAGGTAATCTTAATTGTACCCAAATGGAAAACATTAATGGTTCTTACAAAGAGTTCTTGTTGCAATGATTTTTTATGCCTCTTAATCCTAATATAAATAATATTCTCAACATATTTAGCTTGGTTCTTCTATTTTATAATTTAGGAACAGTCACCATTTGGGTTTTGGTGTTGTAGGTTGTTGGAAACATATTCGAATCATTTCATGTTCTCCTCTATGATGTCCTTATTGTACATACCTCAAGATTATGGTTTAACATAACCCTTCCAAATTAATGAAAACCTAACCTATGCTAGCAGAGTTGATTTGTTATTAATCCTCATCATCATTCCTTGAGCACCAGCTCATGAGCCTCTTGATTTATTTGCATTATCTCTAAACCTCATAGTACCTGGAAGGTGAATTTTTTTGTTCTTATTTTCCATGTAAAGAAACAGAGGCTCAAATGAATTATTCAGTTTGCTCAGGGCTAACAGCGAGTAAATTGATGAAGTAAGATTGGGTCTGTCTGGCTTCAAAAGCTTCTATTCTTTTTGCTAAAACACACAGGTTTAATAATCTCACAATGAACAAGTCTAAATACTCTTTAGGAAGCATTTTATCATACTGAAATTATGTTACAGGATGAAAATCAGGTATAGAATAAAATGATGCAATCTATTTAAACTTAAGGGACAGTGAAGAATATAAATTAAGTAATTATTCCAGGCTACAGTCATAGCAATTTTATATAGAATTATGGCTCAAAACAGAGTATTATATTTTTCCACCTTTTTAAAAATTAAGGTATCACTGATAGACAATCTTATGAAGGTTTCACATGAGCAACACAGTGGTTTCAACATTCACCCATATAATCAAGTTCTCACCCCCCCAATACCCCATTGCAGTCACTGTCTATCAGCATACTAAGATGTTATAGATTCATTACTTCTCCATCCTGTACTGCCTTCCCCATGACTTACCTATATTGAGATTGTGAATTATAATGCCCCTTAATTCCTTTCCCCCTCCATCCCCACCCACCATCCCCAATACCTTCCCTTTGGTAACCGCTAGTCCCTTCTTGGAGTCTGTGAGTCTGCTGCTGTTTTTTTCCTTCAGTTTTGCTTTGTTGTTACAAATGAAGGAAATTTTTTGGTACTTGTCTTTCTCTGCCTGGCTAATTTCACTGACCATGATACCCTTTAGCTCCATCTATGTTGTTGTAAATGGTAGGGTTTGTTTTCTTCTTATGGCTGAATAATATCCCCTGGTGTATATTTACCACTTCTTCCTTGTGCTTCATCTACTCTTTGTACACTTTGGTTGCTTTCATATACTGGCTATTGTAAATAGTGCCGCAATAAACATAGGCATGCATACATCTTTTTGAATCAGGGATCTTGTTTTCTTTGGATAAATTCCTAGGAGTGGAATTCCTGGGTCAAATGGTATTTCTATTTTCAGTTTTTGAGGAAACTCCATATTGCTTTCCACAACAGTTGAACCAATTTACATTCCCACCAACATTGTAGGAGGGTTCTGCTTTCTCCACATCCTCACTAGCATTTATTGTTTCCTGTCTTTTGGATGTTGGCCATCCTAACTGGTGTGAGGTGATATCTCAGTGTGCTTTCAATTTGCATTTCAGTGATGATTAGTGATGTTAATAAGCATCTTTTCACATGCCTGTTGGCCATGTGAATTTCTTCTTTGGAGAAGTGTCTGTTCAGATCCTCTGCACATTTTTTAATCAGATTATTTCTTTTTTGGGTGTTGAGGTATGTGAGCTCTTTATATATTTTAGATGTTAACCCCTTATTGGATAAGTCATATAAAAATATATTCTCCCATATTGTAGGATGCCTTTTTGTTCTGCTGATGTCCTTTGCTGTACAGTACCTTGTTCCTTTGATGTAGTCCCATTTATTCATTTTGCTTTTGTTTCCCTTGCCCAAGATGTTTTCAGGAAAAAGTTGTTCATGTTTATATTCAAGAGATTTTTGCTTATGTATTCTTCTATGAGTTTAATGGTTTCATGATTTACATTCAGGTCTTTGATCCATTTCAAGTTTACTTTTGTGTATGGAGTTAGACAATAATCCAGCCTCATTTTATTACATGTAGCTGTCCAGTTTTGCCAACAACAGTTGCTGAAGAGGCTGTCATTTCCCCATTGTGTATCCATAGCCCCTTTATCATACATTAATTGGCCATATATATCTGGGCTCTCTATTCTGTTCTTTTGATCTATGGGTCTGTTCTTGTGCCAGTACCAATTTGTTTTAATTACTGTAGCTTTGTAGTAGTGCTTGAAGTTACGGAGCATAATACTCCCAGCTTTGTATTTCCTTCTCAGGATTGCTTTGGTTATTCAGGGTTTTTTATGGTTCCATATGAATTTTAGAATGATGTGTTCTACTTCATTGAAAAATGCTGTTGGTATTTTTATGGGGATTTCACTGAATCTGTAAATTGCTTTAGGAAGGATGGCCATTTTGATAATATTAATTCTTCCTTTCCATGAGCATGGGATGTATTTCCACTTATTGGTATCTTCTTTAATTTCTCTCAAGATTGTCTTGTAGTTTTCAATGTATAGGTCTTTCACCTCCTTGGTTAGGTTTATTCCTAGGCATTTTATTCTTTTCAATGCAATTGTAAATGGAATTGTTTTCCTGATTTCTCTGTCTGCATGTTAGTTCATCATTAGTATATAGGAATGCAACAGATTTCTGTGTGCTAATTTTGTATCCTGCAACTCTGCTGAATTCAGCTATTAGTTCTAGTAGCTTTTTGGTAGATTCCTTAGGGTTTTTTTGTGTACAATCATATCATCTGCATACAGTGACAGTTAAACCTTTTCCTTACCAATCTCGATACCTTTTATTCCTTAATGTTCTCTGATTGCTGTGGCTAGGACCTCCAGGACTATGTTGAATAAAAGTGGTGAGAGTAGGCATCCTTGTCTTCTTGTTCTCAATCTTACAGGAAAAGGTTTCAGCTTTTCACTATTAAGTATGATGTTGGTTGTGGGTTTGTTGTTTATGGCCTTTATTATGTTGAGGTACTTGCCCTCTATACTCATTTTGTTGAGAGTTTTTATCACGAATGGATGTTGAATTCTGTCAAATGCTTTTACAGCATCTATTGAGATTATCATTTGATTTTGTCCTTTTTGTTGATGTGTTGTATGATGTTGATGGATTTTTGAATACTGTACCATCCTTGCATTCCTGGAATAAATCCCACTTGATCATGACAGATGATCTTTTTGATGTATCTTTGAATTCACTTTGCTAATATTTTGTTGAAGATTTCTGCATCTAAGTTCACCAGTAATATTGTTCTGTAATTTCCTTTTTTTGCAGTGTCTTTGCCTGGTTTTGGTATTAGAGCGATGCTGGCCTCAGAGAATGAGTTTGGATGTATTCCCTCCTCTTCTACTTTTTGGAAAACATTAAGGAAGATGGATATTAGGTCTTCTCTAAATGTTTGATAAAATTCAGCAGTGAAGAGTCCAAGTATTTTGTTCTTAGGTAGTTTTTGATTACCATTTCAATTTCATTGTTGGTAATTGATCTGTTCAGATATTCTGTTTCTTCAGGGGTCAGCCTTGGAAGATTGTAATTTTCTACAAAGTTGTCCATTTCTTCTAGGTTATCCAATTTGTTAGCATATACTTTTTCATAGTATTCTCTAATAATTCTTTGTATTTATGTGGTGTCCATAGTGATTTTTCCTGTCTCATTTCTGATTCTGTTTATGTGTACACTCTGTTTTTTTCTTGATAAGTCTGACTAGGGGTTTATCTATTTTGTTTATTTTCTTGAAGAATCTGCTCCTGGTTCTATTGATTCTTTATATTATTTTATTATTCTCAATTTATTTATTTCTGCTCTGATCTTTATTATGTCCCTCCTTCTACTGACTTTGGGACTCATTTGTTTGTCTTTTGCTAGTTTCATTAATTGTGAGTTTAGACTGCTCACATGGGATTGTTCTTCTTTCTTCAGGTAAGCCTATTTACAATATACTTTCTTCTTAGAACTACTTTAGCTGCATCCCACAGGTTTTGGGCTGTTGAGTTGTTGTTTTCATTTGTCTCCATATATTGCTTGATCTCTGTTTTTATTTGGTCATTGACCCATTGATTATTTAGGAGCAGTTTGTTAGGCCTCCATGTGTTTGTGGGCTTTTTTGTTTGCATAATTTACTTCTAGTTCCATATCTTTGTGGGTTGAGAAGTAGGTAGGCACAATTTCAATCTTTTTGAATGTACTGAGGCTCTTTTTGTGGTGTAGTATGTGATCTATTCTGGAAAATGATCTATGTGCACTTGAGAAGAATGTGCATCCTGCTACTTTTGGGTGGAGTGCTCTGTAGATGTCTGTTAGGTCCATCTGTTCTAATGTGTTGTCCAGTGCCTCTGTCTCCTTACTTATTTTCTGCCTGGTTGATCTGTCCTTTTTGTTCCTGTGTTGGGTGCACAGATATTTTTAATGGTTATATCCTCTTGTTGGACTGACCCCTTTATAACTATGTAATGTTCTTCTTTGTCTCTTGTTACTTTCTTTGTTTTGAAGTCTATTTTGTCTGATACAAGTACTGCAACACCTCCTCTTTTCTCCCTATTAGTTGTATGAAATATCTTTTTCCATCCCTTCAATTTTAGTCTGTGTATGTCTTTGGGTTTGAAGTCTCTTTTAGGCAGCATATACATGGGTCTTTTTTATCCATTCTGTAACTCTATGCCTTTTAATTGGAACATTTCAATCCATTTACATTAAGAGTGATTATCAATAAGTATGTATATTGCCATTGTAAGCTTTAGATTTGTGATTACCAAAGGTCCAAGGGCAGCTTCCATACTACCTAACAGTCTGTCTTAACTCGCTTATTATGCTATTTCAAGTATAATCTAAAGGTTCTTTTTCTTCCCCCTCCTTCTTCTTCTTTTTCTTTCTCCACTCTTTATATATTAGGTGTCATATTCTGCACAATTTATGTATCCCTTGACTAATTTTATGAGTATTTGATTTAATTTTGCATTTGCTTAGTAATTAATTGGTCTGCTTTCTTTACTGTGGTTTTATTTTCTCTGGTGTCAGCTATTTAGCCATAGGAGCACTTCTATCTATAGCAGCCCCTTTAAAATACCCAGTAGAGACTGTGGGAGGTAAATTCCCTCAACTTTTGCTTATCTGGAAATTGTGTAATCCCTGCTTCAAATTTAAACGATAATCTTGCTGGGTAGAGTATTCTTGGTTGGAGGTCTTTCTGTTTCATTGCATTAAATATATCACAGCATTCCCTTCTGACCTGTAAGGTTTCTGCTGAGAAGTCTGATGATAGCCTGATGGGCTTTCCTTTATAAATGATCTTTTTTCTCTCTCTGGCTACTTTCAAGATTCTCTCCTTCTCCTTGCTCTTTGCCATTTTAATTATTATATGTCTTCTTGTTGTATTCCTAGAGTCCCTTGTGTTGGGAGATCTCCTCTGTACTTCCATGACCAGAGAGACTATTTCCTGCCCCACACTGGGTCAATTTTCAGCAATTATTTCCTAAAAAAGACTTTTTATCCCTTTTTCTCTCTCTTCTTCTTCTGGTACCCCTATAATGTGAATATAGTTCCATTTTGGTTGGTTGCACATTTCTCTTATTTTCATTCATTCCTAGGGCTCCTTTTTTATCTCTGTGCCTCAGCTTCTTTGGTTTCCTGTTCTCTAATTTCTATTTCATTTACTCTCTCCTCTACCTCATCTAATCTACTTTCAAATTCCTTCATTGTATGTTTCATTTCAGATATTGTATTTTTCAAAGTTTCTGTCTCTTTGTTGAAGTCCTCTGTGAGATAGTGAATATTTTTCTCTAGCTCCATGATCATGTTTATGATTTTTATTCTGAAATCTTTATCAAGAAGATTGTGATTTCAGTTTCACTTAGCCCTCTTTCTGGCATCTTTTCCTGTATTTTTGTTTGGACCAAATTCTTTGGCACTTCATTTTTTTTTTTATTCATATGGTATAAAATCTTTGTGAAGGTGGTCTCCTCTAGTGCCCAGAACCTCTACTTTCTGGAGCTGCTGAGCACCTGTAGCAATGGTGGGGTTTGCAGGCAAGCAGAACTGGTGCCTGCCAGGAAGAAAGAGTTCTTTCCTGCCTTCCCAGCTGTAGCACCTGCCTCCACTGCCAGGTCCAGTGAGCCAAGCATGCATGGTGAAGCCTCTGTGTTATGCCCCTATAGCTGCAGTAGGCAGGGCCACCCTCCAGTTTGCCTAGCACAATGACAGGGGCAGCAGGTGTGCAAGACTGGTGCCTGACAAGAGAAAGGAGCAGCCGGCTGTATACAGCAGTGGGGGGCTTTGCATCTGTGTTGCCAGCCAAGGAGATGGAGTGTGGGACTCTCCTGAGAGTTCCCAACCTGCTCAGCTGAGTGTGCTGGGACAATTTTGTCCACCTGCCCTTTCTCCTGATCATTGAGCTCTGTGTAATCTTTGCTCTTTTAGCATCCCTCTTGCTGTTGGGAAGTCTTTCAAAGTGTCTACCTTTCTTTTGTCCCATGGGGGTCATTAGTGCTTACCTGTTCTCCACAAGTGGCTAGAATCTCAGTATCTCTGAATATTCCACCCATCTTTCCTCTCCAACCCCACTAATCTCCAGAGCACCATATGATGTGGGTTTGTGCTCCCAGAGCAGATCTCCAAGTCTGGGTGTTTAGCAGTCCTGGGCCTCTACTCCATCCCCACTCTGTTTCTTTTCCTTGCGCCTGTGGGCTAGGGGAGGGGGAGGGTTTCTGTCCTACCAGATCACATCTTTGCTTCTTTACCCTTTACTGTGAAGTCTTCTCTTTTCCCCAGATGTAGGCAGTCTGTTCTACAGGCTTCAGGTCACTCTTTCAGGATTAGTTGTATTTGCTGTATTTTCGTGCTATATGTGGTTTTGGGAAGAGGTTTCTGCCTTACTTCTCATGCTGCCATCTTTTATCCCAGTCAAAACAGAGTATGATTTACCATTTCTCTGATAGTCTGTTAGTGTTACTGGGTTGAAGTTAAATATTCTATTTAGAAAACAAGTTTGTTAGCCATTCATTTTTAAACCCATATCCTGAAGATGTCAAAATAAGAATGAAGAACAAAAGCCAGGTTTCTTTGAGTTACATATGGGACCTCTGGAAACTGGGTCTTTAAACCTTACCATTCAAATTGATATTTAACCCTTAATAAAGCCCTACAATCTGCAAAGAGAAGTTCAGCATTCCTTTACAATTGTATTGACTATTTCCAGGCCAGTTTTCATGAGCAAACAGAACAGACTAACAAGACTGGTCAAAAATCGTAATGCTCTGTTTCTTTAATTTTCCTTACACACACACAGACTACATGCCCTAAACAGATAGTACCCTCTTAGGTAATATAGAAGAAGTGTGGCTCCTTGTTCCAGACTAAGGATATGTCTTAAAACTGTGTCTGAAGTTGAAAAAGAAAAGGGTTGAACTTTTTCCAGCAGCTAAGAATTTTAACACATATTTGGGATTGGAAGAAGGTAGGAAAGAAGGATAGGCCATATAGCTTCCCTAGAAATAGTTCCTTCTGTTCCTCTGATAATTAATTGCTGGAAGACACTTTCACATTTCACTACAAATATGTGGTATGTTAAGTCGTAGCATGCACGTGTGTGTATACATTCACACTCTGCGGTTCTTACTCTATATTTTCCATGGGAAAATCATTACCTAGAGCTAAAATGGAATTGTGAAAACAGAAACTTACTCATTCCTTGGGAAGTCCAAGAGAGAGACCTTTCTGAGAGTGATCTGAAATGAGGTTTGATTAGATCTTCCACAGCTACTGCTGCTAAGGCATTAATACTGGAGGATACTGTGCTGAAAGGAAAAATCAAACTTTCGATTTATAATACTTTAACTTTAATAATACTTTAAGTGGTAATAAGAATGGGGAACACAAATAGTCATGTCTGAAACATAACAAGATTTCTACTGTATTATTTTATTTTTAATGGTCACAGCATCTTCCTTCTGGAAGTTGTTATCATCCAAGAATGATTCAGGCAGCATCCATAGGCTTAATAGTGAAAAAGGACAATTTAATGCTGCTTCCATTTTTCAATTAATCCTTAGAGTCTATGAGAAGAATATACACAGATTATCTAGTATTATTACATAATGACTTTAAAACATATTTTTCTTTTTATGCAAAGAAAGGACTATCATAAGTCCTCACTAAGATATGTCATAAATATCAGTAAAATTAATTTCCTGAATTTTCACTAACATACATTGTACATGTTAATAATAATTATTCCCTGGAGCAAGCACAAAAAGTATATTGAGTAAATACAAACTGAAAACAAGATTCTTTGGACAGTGTGTGTTATTCAGCAGAAAATTTTGATTTAACTTTTCCATTTGACAATGCTTTAACCACATGTATATTTTAAACCAAGATATAGGCACTATTTTTGACAATCAGTGAAAGCTGATCATTATTACTGTGACCCTCCAGGGTTTGTGATTATATATCAGATAGTAGGGACCAAGTTAAAAGAGGAGACTGATGGATGACAACAGACTGTTAGCCTGTAGAGATAAGAGTCAGACTGAAGGGTGGATACATGGAGTGGATACATTGGGCCATTTGCACCCATTCAAGAATTCAATTCTATCTGCCAAAATATACAGTAGCAAGAGATCCCACCAGTATTATTAGAGTCATAGTTTATACCTTAATGTTCCACTGTAAGCACAGGCCACAAAAAGTCCAGGAAGTCCTGGATAATCTTGCAGAATGTCCAGTACCAAATAAGGCATTAGCTGAAAAATTCCAAAAATTGCTCTTGAGTACTATTTGCTATTAAATAAAATTAATTAGTGCCTTATTTGTGTTCTTCAAGAACTAAAGAAAACTATTCCGCATAAATGAAGTTTCCAAACACATAAAATTAAACCTTTTAACTGCTAACACTTAAAGAATAGCATAGTAGTTAAGGGTACTGACTCTAGATGCAGACAGATGTGGCTTTTTTTACTTAATTTCTCTGATCCTCAGTTTCCTCATCTGTGAAACAGGGTCAATAACAGTTACCTCATAGAATTGCTATAAATGTCAAATTAGATAATCTATGTAAAGTTCCCAGCATAGTGTGTGACATATAGTAAATGCTTGATAAAAGGTAGCTGTTCTCATTCTTTGGAAGAATAAACCAATTTAAAGGAAATATTTCACACACATTTGTACTTAAGTAAGCAGCATTCATTTAACTTTACTTGGTGACTGTAGGCTATCTTTGTGAACTTCAGTCACTGCCTAGAACTGAAAGTGTAATTAGAGCTGCATATAGTATGAGACATAGTGACAAATGCAGACTAATTTTCAGAGGAAATCCTGACACGTCCTTCTTTTAAAAAAGTTCCTTAGATGAACTTGTTTTTTATTAATTTACCTTTTTTAAAAATAGATATTACATAAGGGTAGAAAGGCATATGACTTTAGCACTGCATTCCATGGCAATTTGTGGCAAAATTGGTTTTTAAATCAAGAGAGTCTTAGAGGATTATTGCTCACAAAAATGTCCTCTCATTTGCATTGAACCATTATTGATTGTTTCTCCCACAGTACAGACTGAATCACACACCCTATCTTATCAACCTCTTTGATTTCATTTCACAATGGTTTGTTGATAGGATAAGAACACACTTCATTGTTGCAAAAGTCTATGTTGTTTTAGGAATCCTTTCTTCACTTTCTCTAGAGCTTACATATTCTTTATTCTCAGAAAGAAAGAAAAGCACTTCTTTCTGTAAGAAATTAAGACCCAATTTTCCCAAGATATCTTAAAAGTTTAACTTCAAGCACTATTCCATACATAAGCAAAAGTTACAGCTACCACCATTCCTGTAGAATGAGATCTAAAATCATCTACCCTTTCATCAACTTTCTCAAAAATCTTCAGTTGATATTTAATATTTTGAAAGCCCCTCTCAGGTATAGGGAGAATCAACCAGATGAGATTGATAGAAAAATAGTAAACCTATATCTAGGCACTAATATGGTTTCCTCAAGGTCAGCTCCAGAAGAGTATAACAGAAACATACCTTTGCTCTCCTTAGAGTTAAGATTTTGACCTGACCTACTGACTATGCCTTGTTTGCTTTGTATCCACAGGAAATGTAAATTGAATTAACTCACTAACAATCCACACATTGCTGAAAGCATCCAAACAGCAAGGAAACTTCTTGTTCAAGAATTTAGTTTTTTGTTTGTTTGCCCAAGGTAAGGGGAAGGTGTATTAGAAACATTTCTTAATATCCCCATTATCTTTGTGAGTAAACTACAGACAATAAAGATTGACAAAAACCACAAAGTATTCTTGACTAGAAAGAATGTGAGGGAAGAGTGCCTCTATGTTCAGGGTAAACAGGACCCTTGGCTTCTCTGAGTGACTACGACAGACCTGTTTATTAGCAGGAGGGTGCAGGTTAACATAGTTTTGAGATTTCACACCTGGAGGATGCTCTCATTTCCTAATCCCATAAAATTATATTTTTCTGGGAGTATGTGAGACATTACACCAACATAAATTTCAACCTATCTTCATTCTGATGAGTCCCCTGGGGCACTTGATTTATAAATGAGTCTTAAGATACACTTTTGGCAAGAAGTCTGAGAACAAGAACTCAAACTTTGGAGAATGGCAGTCCTGGGTCTGAATTCTAGCTACACTTTCTGAAAGATGGTATATGGCATAGAGTTTCTAAGTTAGGGCTGTGGAGGCAGGCTGCCTGGGTGTGAATCCTAGTTTTAGGTTTATCAGCTGATTATATAACTTCCCTGTGCCTCTATTTCTTTATCTTTGAAAGAGAGGTGATCCTAGCACTTACCCCAGAATGCAGCTGTGAGGACTAACAGCTTAAATTATATAGAGCACTTATGATAGCCTGGTGCACAGCATTTGATGAATGCTTGCAGCTATCAAGATACTTATATTTTATGACCATTTGCTATTTCTCTATAAGAACATAAACACTCTTTCCTCCCAGCTAATATGCATTCTGAATGTCATTAATGCACATGTAAGAAAGACATGGTACTGGACCTGGTCAGGCGCAGACACCTTCTTGGCTGTCCAAGGATCACAGTCATGGTACCTGGAATATAGGGCGAGTCCACAAAATACGGAGCAGGTGAGGATTGCCCAGAGTCCCACAAGATTGACATAGAGAGACCTGAAGAAGTGAAAACAAACCAGCAAATAACAATTGTAATTTCCATCCCAAAGATTAGGAAACTTGTTACACAAAGAGAAGGGACCTTCATGATTATACTCAATAAATGTACATTATCTTTTGATTATCAAAAAATGCTACTTATCTTATTCTGGTCTAACCTTCTGCTTATGATGTCAAGCAACAGTGTTTGGAATACTTAGAATAGATGGGGTTTTCCCACTGAATGAATGCATCCTCCTGGTCAGAGTTCCATTGGCATTATTAGCTTTATAGTGGTATCTAATTATACTACTTCAGGCTTCTTGTCATGAAATAGATTTCTTCATCAACAGAGCAGAAACTATTACTCATTTTCCTTTTAAAAGTAATGCACTTGTAAAACACTAAACATTGTTAGCATCTACATAGCAACTCATCACACCTGTTTAAATGTGGCTTGTAATACCATCCATTAAATATGAAACTCAAACCTATATTTCTTGGACAGATATCTTCCCAAATAATGTTCAGCATTATAATACATGGTGTGTGCTCTAGTAGAGTGTAAGGATTTATATAACGGCACTGGAGTCAGACCTGAGCATAAATCCTGGCTCTACTTGTCATATGTGACACTGGGTAAATAATTTAGCCTTTGATCCTCAGTTGCTTCATTTGTACCTAGAGATAACAATGTCTACCCCACATAGTTATAAGACTAAATGAACTAGCATATATTATGCAGCACAGTGCTTGGCATGTAATAAACACTTGTGAAATAAATGATAGTCACTGATCGTATGCTAGTATCACTGAAAGCTGTGTTAATAATCAGTTGAATTGTGAACATTTTCTCACTAATGTGGCCACATTTTTTTTCCATTGGTGCTGTATGGATGCTGTGATGAGCAGCCCTCTGCTGAAGAAAGGTGCCACCCCCAGTGCCATGCTCCTCGCCCCTACACCAGTGTCCAATGGCCACTGGATTCAGAGGCTTAAAAGCCCTGTCTGCTTATCCTAACTTGGGACAAGACTGAAGAGTCATCCCAGCTTTGTAGCTCCCCCCAAGGCCTCTGCTGTGACCGCACTGCAGTCCCGCTTGGCCCTCTGCCAGTCCTGCTTCCTTCTCATCCTCCTCTTTTCCCACTGTCCTGCATTCCCACTGAATGAATGCATCCTCCTGGTCAGAGTTCCACTGGCATTATTAGCTTTATAGTGGTATCTAATTATAGATAGATACCCGGGTGGGGGGAGGGAAGGGAATTCCCTGAAAGATCCTGGCATAGGATCTCCATCTCAGAGTCGGCTTCCAAAGAACCTGCCCTACCACAGGGGCCAAACAATAGAGAGTTAGCCCTTTTCTCTTGATAAGCTAAATTTACTGTTTTGTTATTATCTCAAAGTAATGGAATTGTATCTTATCTCCAAATCATCAGAAAATAAACCCAGACACTTTCCTGCTCAGCCAACCCTTCTCACATATCTCTGAGTTTACTACTTTATCATATTGTTTCATTTGACTTTAATTCAAATAGACCACTTATCAACATCTGATCCTGGCCCTGGTCAATCAGTGTTGGTAGGTCGTGACTTTTTGGCCGGGATTCATTCTTCCCATGGAGCCTGTGTTAGGAAGCCAGAGAAAATGGTTCCCCTGAGCTCAGAGAGTCTGCCTCATTAAGGAGACCCCTTAGGCTATTCTGAAGAAAACTGTTTCCTTGTGCTTTTTTTTTAGTTATAAATGAAATACTTACAGTTTTTGAGTTTCATGTTTCCAAAGAAACAGAAGAGCATGTGCACAGCTCAATTAGTTGGGAGAAGCATCAGCTCTAGTGAGATTTAAAGTCCAGTGGGTTACTGGATATATTACCTTCCTTCAAATTTCCTTAAAATAAAAACCTTCTAGGCTCATATTACCTTCCTTCAAATTTCCTTAAAATAAAAAACTTCTAGGCTCATTTTAGGGGGGATTCCATATCCAGTTATTGTACTTATATTCATACAGTTTTTTCATTGTGAAATTTTCCAAAGACCGAGAATGTCTACATCCATTTAACCTCAATATGTTGAGTTTTGACATGTGACATCACAATATTTTCATGCTCTCCTTTGACTAGAAACAGAATTTCTACTCCTTGCCCTACTCCAATGACATCCTGTTACTCTTAATCGATCAGTCTAGAGTTTTTAAGTCCCTAAATGCATGTGGGCCAAGTCAATCTTATTTATTGGCATGGGAATGGTGGTCATCAAGCTGATCCAACGTCCCCTACGAAAACCCAGTCACTGGGCATACTGTTTGCTTAAGCCAAGATGGGCTTGAGGGTTTCCTGACCTCCCCTTCCTTCTGACCCCTGTGCTTTGTCCAAATCACTCTGCCTACCTGAAATGCTCTCCCACTCTTCACCTGCCCACATCTGATCATTCTTCAGGATTTGTTTGGTTGACAGGAATCTCTCACCCATCTTCTGCTTCCACATTCCATGGTAGAATGGACGGTGGAAAAAAGAAATCACATTTACCAGCCCCCTACCATGTGTTTGCCAAACAATTTTTATAAGACCTCCCCTGAAATGTATAATATTTCTTATGCTCATTTTACAAGTTTATAAACTGAGGCTCAGAGAGACTAAGTAATTCATCCAGGATCAGTCAAGAAGCAAGTAGTAGAGTAGAGTTATAAACCTATGACTGTGTCTGAAAGTAAAGAGCACCAGCATATCTGGCAATATAATGCTCTCTAATGTTATATTGTTTCATGGAACTGATATACTTCTCTAGTGTTATTTCACTTTTCACATACTTGCATATATTTTCCTAATTTGAGGTTAAGTTCCTTCATGACAAGAGCCATATATTTATAATTTTCATTCTCCACAAGTCCCTACACAGATGCACAATGAACATATATTTTATTTGACAAGAATTGTTTTACTTAGTACTTCATATAGTTTCAAATATCTGATTTAAAACATATAGTACCACTTTGTTCTACTTGATCTTTTTGTAACTAAAAAAGTATTATATCAATTATTTTTTGGAATTTCATTATACAAAAGACTTAAACTTGAGCAAAGCTTGACTTATGAAAGAATTCCCATAAAGACACTTGATGGTTATTAACAACTCATATACAATAGTTTTCCTTACATTTTTGCCTGGAATCTGCTTTTACACGAAATATATCTCTGCACTTGGGACTGGTTGACACCATAGATGCTGGTCCATGTGAAGGTCCCGCCTATAATAATTGTCCAGAATGTATGTCTTTGCAAAGGGTTAGGATTAAAACTAAATGAAAAGAAATAGAAAACAAATCTGAACTATCAGCAAAAACTATAGCATATACTCCTAGAATACTTTTGGAAGCAATCAATGTATACCTATGTAAGCATACATATATACATAAATACATGCAAATTTACTAAGTAATATAAAAGGTAGAAATATTCCTAACTTAGATTCGATGAAGTAATAATTTATACTTTCAGAGAATTGGAAATTCTGGACGGGACTGAGGGAAAAATGAATGTTCTAATCGTCATGAACATTTATAAAAATTGTTCCATGGCCTTAGGAAATTTGTTATTAAACAAGTCTGCCACACTGTAATCAGAGAAGAGCATAAAATTGAGAAGAGAGAATGTTCCTAAGTACATGGCAGCAATAGATATGATACTGAAATTAACACAAAATTGACAAATTTGTGTATAAAATTCCTCTCTTAGCACATGTATAGTCAAAGTTCTAATTTATATTCAAGCTCAAAAAGCCAATTAATGTACTGCATTGTCTAATTTCTAATACTGCCATGCCACTATAATCATGCTTTCTTAAGAGATGTGAGCACAAGCTAAATGCTAATAGTCAAAAATCACTTTAAGACATGTACTTAAGTCCAAAATTTTGTTACAAAGACAGTTCAACTTCCACCTTTCATTCATCTTTTAATCCTTCTTGATGTATAGGCTTAGAAGGAATAATTCTGTTCATCTCTAATACACAATGTGAACTTGAAAGATTTCTGCAAAATTAGTTTTCATGGAAGCTTTCTGAAAATTATGAAATTCTGAAAATCCATTTCAAACCCTATTTGGAGATCAATTGAGTAAAGCATCCTGATTTCATGCATATTCTGGCATTTCTAGGGAAATATGAGAGCTTCTATTCTATTCTCTAACATTTAAATCAAAGTCTGAGAGTTTCACAGGTGTTGACTCTTTGTCCTATAGAAGAAGTAGCTACTCTAGTGGCTAATGGAACTTAAGGGCCAAGGGATTCAGGAGGCTACTTGAGGGAAGACAAGATTTACAACACCTAATTTAGTGGTTTTAGGCCCTTAAGAACACATATGTCAATTATAGACCATACAGAAAATACCAACACAAAATCTTTCTCTTCATTTATGTTTTGCCACATTCTCAAAACATATCAGAATAACAAGAGATACACAATAAGGCTCTTCATTAGTACTTAATGGTTGGCAGCCTTCAGAGTAAAGGTCATAAAAACGCCTAGCCTTACTTTGTAAAATCTCTTATTGATGTGTAAGTTGTCACTTCAATAGAGCAATATGTGTATCCTTTATATAAAGTGAGTTATCTTGCAGAAAAATGACTGGTTCCATAGCCTCTCCCCTCAGTCTAGCCTATTAGGAAGAGATCTGGGAGTAATCAAGGTCCCCTAAGAGGTCCACTGCCTAATTCTGCTTCTTGGTACCCATTCTCCCCTCTTCTGGCAACAGCAATCAAATTTGCTTTGGGGAAACTACCATTTCTCCATGATGGCTGTCAATCTAAATGTCTCCTCCCAAAATAAGGGATGGAGTCATGCCCACGCTGAGGCAGTTGGAGGCTCTCTTCCTTGGAATCTGAATCTCGAGGTAAAAGGAAAAAAAAAATATTGAAAATAGTTGAAGAGGATTCACTGTAATTCATTCCTATAAATAAACATACTGGCCCTGTCTAATTCCAGAAGAAGTTCTCTCAAATGTTAGCACCTATTTTCAGAAAACCAGAAGAGAGCCACCAAGTGGAAGATGGATTTTCCTCTTGCCAGTAATTTCACCTTGCTTGTCTCAAAGCAGGGCTGCTTACAGAGAAAATAAGGTAATCCACATCAGAATGAGCCCCCCTCCGCACTGACCATGATGTACAAGGATGACACTGTTGATCCAAAAGGGAACATTTCAAACATTCTTTTAGGTTGTATGATATATTTGGGATGAAATATCTTATTTCTCTATTAGGCTTTCCTTTGGAAAACTGAACGGCTGTTTTAAGATATGTTATATTACATTCTATACTGACATTTGAGGCATCAGCCATAACTTTCCTAGTCAATTCTCTAGAAATCATATATAACACTATATAATGTATATATATATAAAACATTTATACATACCTATAATTATAATAACAACAGACTGGATATTGCCAGGGCAATATCAAAAGAGTAATTATCTAGGCTGCTTGAAACAGAATTGTCAAAATGGAAGCTTGATCTTTTATTGTTTTTCTCTTTAAGAGATTTCCTTTGCTTATTTTTCCACTGTTTCTTGCCTTATCATCCTTCCCCACTCTCAAACCTATTCCAGACTTCAATATGTGGAAGAAAATACTGTTTTGCTATTAATCCCTTCTCAAGATGAAGCACCATCCTAAGTACCATATAACTATGTACATCTGTTTTAATCACTTAAAGACCTGGTGGAAGCCCCTTTCACATCTATTTGCCAGCTTCAATTTTCTGTATTACAGCTTTAGTGATTTATTGGTTTTCTAATATAAACTTATTATTTCAAAAAAGGGATTTTTTTTCACAGAAAAAAATGAAAGAACGTTCTATTAACCAAGACATAAATAACAACTTACTTCCAGAAGTTTAATCTCCCACCGTTAGAGGCATCTTGTAGAATAGTGCTGATTCCACCCTGAATCACTGCAGCCTGTATAATAACAGATGCAAATCCAGCCACCATGATCCCAACTTGAAAAACGTCCGTCCAGATAACTGCTTTAAGACCACCCTTAGAGGGGAAAGTGTATTAGAACGAATGCTTCTGTAAGACATAATTAAGGATCTGCATACTTATATACTATGCTGGATAAAAATAATGAAAACACATCTTGGCCAAGGAGTACACCCAAAGGAGAGAATACGGTTGGGAGAACCTTCAACAGAAGGTGATGTGTAAGCCAAGCCTTCAAACAAGCAGAGGCAAAGATGGAAGTTCCTCCCAGAAGAGAAAATAACATGGGCAAAAAGCATGGAGAGGTCAAAGCACATGGCATGTTGAGTGTGGCCAGACGGATATTTTAGAGCCAAGTGGAATGGTGTGGGGAGCTTGTTGGGGAGAAAACTCAGAGCTAGATTGCAAAAGGCAATATCACAGATTTTGCCGTACAGTAGACAGTGCTGATATTCAGTCAGTATGGACACACAGGCCACACCAGTTGCTGAAATACTAAAATTGTTTTGTAAGAGCCACTGCCTGAAGCCTCCCAACTGTCCCCCTTCAGTTCTTATAACCTTGACTAAACCATCTCCTCCCTGAGGACCCCATCTTCTGAAGGATCCAGCAACTCATGGGTTAAGACCTACGCTGTCAGGAATCCCATAAGACTTGCACCACCGCTAAGGCACAGTGTCCATGATAACATCAGTGCCTGGCCACACTGCTTGTTAAATTTTGGACTGTCACTCCTGTCTATAGGCAATGGGAAGTTATCTGGGTTTCTAAGCTGAGGAATAATATAGGCACAATTATAATAACTTGGCAACAGTAAATATGAATTAGGAGACAAGATTCAGGACCATTGCAATGGTTCAGATGAAAGAACAAAAATTCAGTAATGACCAAATGTTCTACAAAGGATCAAATTTTACCCCAGACTGAATATTCCTTACAAAAACTTTTACTGTGGGGGATAAGAGTAGAAGAGTAGGTATGAACAACCCAGTTCGTAGCATATATCTACTGGAATTTTCAATTCTGCAAAGCAAGTGGCTAGAGTGAAAGGAGAAATGATATTCGTGACATACCAGCGTGCAGTAGAATGTGCAGACCACCCCTGTTGCCACTACTGCGCCCCACAGATCAAACCCTGTGACTGGAGAAGAAAAGAAAAGGCATGCATCAATGTGAAACATGCACAATAAAAATACTTCTTGAAAATCATCAGGAGGTAGCTTTGGCACTTACTGGGCACCCTACCTCTCTATCCAATTGCCTAAAACCTAGGTCCAACTCTCTTAAAACATCTCAAAACAAATGGAATTTAAAACTTTATTTGATGGCTTAAATAGATCTGGTTTCTACCTTTAGCCTCCATACCCAGATCCAACATTGGCTAAATTAAATATATGAAAAAGCCTTTATATTGTAATTAAGCTAAGAAACCACTTGATCCTGGGAGGTAGTTAACCAGACTGAATGCAGTCATAGGGTATTTGCCATCATGGCTCAAATAAACACACTGCTCTACCAGTCCTGGAAAGACAAGTTGTGTGTGCTACCAAGATGAGACCAAGAAGGTGAAAAGTCTATATAATTTGCTACTGTTTATCTAAGAAGTGGAGAGGCATATTATATTCTTAAATGGAAGGATAACAACTCTTCTCACAAATTTGATAATCTAGATGACATGGACCAATTTCTTGAAAGACACAATGTGCAAAAGCTCACACAAGAAGAAACAGATTATCTAAATAGGCCTATATCTATTAAAGAAATTGAACAAAAGGTATACAGATTGGGAAGGAAGAAATAAAACTTTGTTCACAGATGACATGATCACTGATACAGAAAATACAGAAGCACTGATCAAAAAACTTGTGGAACCGATAAGCAATTATAGCAAGGTTGCAGGATACAAGGTTAATATACAAAAGCCAATTGCTTTAATATATAATAATAAATGAACCACAAATGGAATGACATAACTGTTAATACTAAAATGTACCTTGACTGAAAGATAGAACAGACTATAAGTGGAGTAACTGGGACTCTCAGACATTGTAGAATGGGCATGTAAAATGGTACAATCACTTAGAAAAGCTGTTCAGCAGTTTCTCTTAAATTTTGTACGTGGATCTATGCTGTACTGGGTCATAAAATATGTACATTTAATTTTATACTGCTTCCAAGTATTCACCCAGGAGAAATGAAAACATGTCAAAAAGCAAAGCAAGACAAAACAAAACTAGTAAACAAGTTTCTGTTGAGCATCTGTTGCATACCAAGTATAGTGCCTATGCCTGTGCCTACTGCCTTGGTCACTGTGAAATACACAGTTGATATTCAAGTGGTCAAAATGCAATCCATCAGGTCCTAACTTATTCCTAGGGAATGGCTCAATGAACTGGTAAGAACAGAGTCCTTGATTTCTTCACATATTGAAGGTAATACTCTTATTCCCAGAACTGCACTTTAAATCCTTAAAGCCAACATCCTTAATTACACTTAAAGCCAATAAGTAACTTATGAAGTTTGTAATTCACTTCTTTACATATGAAATGATTCATTCATGATGTTGGTAATATTGACATGAATTCTGCTGACATTCAGAATTTGAGAGCACATTGTAATATGGAGCTCCTCTTTTTAATGATACTGTGGTACTTTGTAAACTTGGGTAATAATTACTATATATCATGAAATCAGAAATTAGAGTGTGGAGTTAGCTGGGTTTTCCCGTCTTATATTAACTCCAGGAACTGCACCACATTCTTCCTACCACAAAGTCCATTTGTCCATTTTACAAGGAAGTTTTAGAGATAAACTCCATTCTGATTGATAAGAATTCATAGGATATGGGGTTTCCCCAAAGTTCTTCGAGGATATGACTAAACATGCACCTTTACCTCAATAAACTATCGCAGTTTCACTGCTTTTATCTGCCAGATCTAGAGAATATAGCAGTTGGTTGATCAACACAGTCTTTATACACTTAATAAGGACATGATAGCCATTTATCCTTTTGTGACTAGGAGCGGTCTAATATTTCAAATAACACAGATCTCTTGGCTTTTTTACTACATTGAAGTGGGGAGACAAAAAGCTTCTCTCCCTGCCATATTTTACAATGGAACTGAGCTGAATGACATAGAACCTCTTGGAAACCGGCTCCAGGTTACACCCCAAAGGGAGGGAGGGAAGTCATTCATGATTTAGACTATAGGGGGTATTCATTCCGAAGAAATGGAGAATGGTGGATTGGCACATCCAGAGATTTATTGCCCAGAGAAGTGTGCAATAATTGTATTAATTTATAGACCTTTTGGAACTATTAATCCAAGAACCCACAGAAGCTGGTAGAATGAACAATGGATCCCCATCCCCACCTTGAGCTGATGCAGGTCCCTGGAAGCATTCTTTCATCTCTCCAAAGAGAGAATAAGGTCTATTAAAAATGAACCCAAAAATGTAAGTGACATAACCAATAGCTTTAAAATATACCTTGATTCAAAGCCAGGGCAGGGGCATAAATAACAATTCCAGTATACAGAATCTAGAGGAAGAAAGAAAACCAAATAAATGGTATGATTTTTAAAATAAAATATTTATTTTTTCCTACAAATTCAATTATGAATTAAAATAACAATTTCAATATACTAAATAAAATTTGCTTGTAACTTGAAAAATATTATTTAAGGAAAACTGATTCTTCTCAGTTTGTGGTATGGTTGTAGGTTACAAATATCTTTCATGACCAATTTTGTATGAAAATATCATATAGTACTTAGTTTAGATTGTCACTGATCCATCAACTCAAGCTTGAAATCAACTTTTCTAGATACAAAACATTAGAAAGAAAGAAGGAATACAAATTTAAAAGGGGATGGCCCCTCACTAATATACCTTCAAACTATTATTAATCACTTCATAATAAATTGGGAAAATAATGAAAATTTTGGAAACTGGTTTTAAAAAGTTTGTAAGCCCATTAATTAATCAAACAAAAATTTGCACTAAAAATTTCTGAAAGCCAACAAAAACTGTAGTCCATATTTTTTATATTATTTATTATTTGCCATTCATACATTTAATGAATATTTATTAATCTGGGGTATAACAGTAAGATAAATATGGCCTTTTTTCTCAGAATATAATTTTCATTGCATTTGAGCTTGCTAATTTATTGCATATATTCTATGTGATTACTTTATAAAAGCATGTTATGATTCTATGATTCTCTGTGATTCTTGTATAAAAACACATGATGAAAAAAGCCATATTATGTAGTATTTGAATGCTTGATTACATTACATGGGTAGATACATGGAAGCAAGCCCTTCAAATGGTAGATGCTAACGCTACCCTCTTTCTGCAAGAATGAATTAGCTTTCCACAGCCATTATTCTATCCAAGTTGAAGATTTGAAACTGTAACCACAGGCCACAGCACTAATACTCATCCCCACTTTTTATTTCTGTGGGTGTTTCTAATAATGATCCCAAGAGGGTCTGAGCACAATCTGCAGAAATGCCGTTGAAGGATCTTGAAGAGTTAAGGCTGCTTAGTGACAAGTGTTTTTTGTTTTTTGCTTCCTCCTATTAACATCATTTTTTTTTTCATGTGTTTACCAAATAAGCTTGGTCCAGATGCCCTGGTTAAAAATACTTTAGATGACAAAAGATAAAAAAAATGGAGAGCTACTTACTGTTTGAACAATGAAGAGGACTGTTCCACAGAGACGAACATATTTGTTAAATCGAAGTTCTAAATACTGTTTCAAAAAAGGAAAAATGGTTTTAATATGTGAAACATCTGTACACTTTTAAAAAATCAGCAGCTTAAGAAGGAGCGAGAAATTTAAGGCAACTGCATAACTGATTTGTATTCTGTATTTCCACTTTCTTATTATTTTTATTTATGTACAGCAAAACTAATTCTTGCTTTAGAGTACAGTTCAATAGGTTTTAACATATACACAACAGTTCCATCACCCTAGAAATGCTCTTGTGTTGCTCCTTTGTAGTCAAATCCTCCCCCCCAATCCTAAATCTTTGCAGTCACTGATCTGTGCTCCATCCCTAGTGTTGTCTTTTGCAGACTTATATAAATGGAATTATATTCTGCATTTCTAGAATGGGCAAAGTGGTGTTCCTACTTTCTCTCAATACCTAATCTGTACATTTCCTTAATTCACTTGGGGAGTCAATCTTTTCCCACTGCATGCAACTGTGATGAAATTGTCCAAGTGCCCTGCCTCTAGTGACCAAAGAGTGAACAAAAGACCCAAGCTCAGCCAATCAGCTTCTCCCCGTTTGCAAAATGGGGCTCTTAGAGTACCTCTGTTATAAAGATTGTTTTGAGTATTAAGTCAAATAATGTAAAGGGGGTACTTGAACCTTACAGGCACAACATAAGGTCAGAAAATGACTGGAGCAGAGCAGACTGATCCTGGTGGAGTGCCCTCAAGATGCTGCCCTGGCTTCTGGCCTTTTCACCGTCTGTTTGTTCAGCTTTTCCCTCTGTTGCATGAGCTACCCCTATATCCTTTCATAATTTATTTTTTACTGGAGTCCTGCATCTTATTTCCTGTCTGTTGCTAAACACCTACCAGGCCTACACACTGGAGGCAGGGATAAATAGATATCACAAATGCTTCTATTTTGGCCAATTCTAGCTAACAATCTGTAAGTAGGAAGAGATTTCATACTTGAGCAGAATACCAGCGTTATCACTCAATGCTGGACTTCTTATTCTGTATTGGTGACTCCGCCTCTTAGCATAAAACAAACAAAAATATTCCACAAGAAATTATCTGCCATGACCAACTGTCAGAGACATAGATCGTTATCTAACTTCCCTGTTCCTGATTGCCTGGTACCAGTGTGCCCCAACCCCATGTGCCCTGCACTACTTCCCTTGTTCTCTCTGCACTCTTAGAAGCCCTTCTCAGGGTTGTAACAGACTCACAAGAGCCTTCAGAAGCTGCCAGTATGCACCACTGCAGAGACTCTAGGCACGTGTATACTTTGCTTCACGCTCTTTTCTGTAGCTTTCTCTGAGTCTCCCCATCTGCAAAATAGGGCTCTTAGAGTACCTCTGTTATAAAGATCGTTTTGAGTATTAAGTCAGATAATGTAAGTAAAACATGTACCCAGTGCCTGTCATGTATTAAGCATTCAGTAAGTGTTAGCATTTGGCCATTTTATCTGGAATCTTGCTAATTTAGCCTCTAACACTGAAAACGTGTAGGAAATCTGTTTCTGGTTGAGTTAATGCTGCTTCCCTGTAGAGGCATGGGTCAGTGATTATTAGAGAAGCACTCATCTCTGAGGACTGAAGTCCTCTTGCCAGGTTCTCCAAACACTTTCCAAGTTTTGGAGCTAGTTAACTACGGTTCAGAGTCCACAGACTCAAAATGCCTATAGATTTCATTAGGTAACATACATGAGTGGATCAGCTAGGTGTTCATAAATTAGCATGTTGGAATATTCCTCATATCCACTGAGAAATAGATCCTCTCACATTTCCTTTGAAACAAGAACTACCTTCACCCCTGTCCATTTTCCTTTCTGCATGCTCGATAAAGATATGAATGTAGAAAAAGATTCCTCTGTCGTAAGGAAGTAACCATGCAAATACAATGATGAGGCCTCATTACTAAAACTGGCAGGGAATGAGGGCAATAGCTATAAACTGGAGTTCCTATGGTCCCAAGGAATGTTGGCCCAGCGTCACCAGAATTCTGAATTTTCAAAAGAAGCCAGAATCTGGAATTTTGATTGATGTCTCAGCATCATAAATGCTAAACTAATCTTTCAAAACATTATAAGGGTCAGGCGGAGGAGGGTGGGGGGAAATGTTACTGAGAACTGGGTTTGGCCTGGGGCAGCCAGTTTGTCACCTCTGGTCAAAACAGAGAAATTCCATCCTGCTCACTTCTTGGGTGATGACTGAACTCTCCCAAACAGAAGGACCAGAGTGAATGGAAGCCAATGCTGCCCCAGGGGTGCCTCACCCTGGATGACATCACTAGATACCAGTTTGGCACCCATACTTGTTGTGCCATGGGGCCCATTCCCAGCACCAGTTGAACCAGCCTCACTAGGAAACCACCTTCCGGTGGCTCTGGATTGGAGCAAACACTACCTACACGCAGGGTCAGAGGTGGCCGCTGAGAATGAGGCTCAGGGCCCTCCGGATAGTGATCTATGAGAGGAAACTTCTGCAGGCTTGTTCATATCGCTCTGGGGTTAGTGCCTGGGTGAAGGAGACCACCGAGGGCACTGAACTGGGTGCCGCCATCCCCCTGAGCGTTTATCCTCCCCAACACTACCACTCTTTAGCCATTTCAACTAAAGCAAAACTTCACCGTCTTTGCAAAGCCTCTCCTGCAGACAACTTCAGAAAACCTGTAACTAGCATCCCTGTGCAACGGGAAACAGTTTTCCCCCATCATCGTTCTATAGAGAGAAGGTACTGGCGCTGAAGAAAACTGCAGCCAAATGTTCCTAGCAATCACAAGATAACTGCTTCTGCCACCACCGCCACAATACTTAGGGCCAATGTTTATGCAGCATTCGCCCTGTGCCAGATGCTCCTCTAAATGCTACACTTGCATCATCTCATTTAATCCTCCGAACAACCGGATGAGGCAGGTAGTATTATTATTTTCATTTGAGATGAAGAAACATTTAAACAAAAGTGTAAATAAGTCACTCAGGGTTACCCAGCTAGTACTCAGTGGAATGGTCTCAAACATAGGTACTGGGACCAGGGTTGAAGCGACTGAACCACTTGGGCGGCCGCCTCTCCACAGAAGGCGGTGCATTTGGGAGGTGGAGGGCAAGGAGGGGAGCGTGCAAATCCTTCCCCAACTACCTTGAAAAGCTAGTGGTCGCTGAGGACCTGAAACTGGGGGATTCATTTCCAGGAGGAAGAGCTGAGACTTGAACGACTTACCCTCCCCCCAGATAAAAAGGTGTAAGATCTTTCTCCTTGACTGGAATCACAGATGTTAAGACAGAAAGGGTTTCAGGGAGCGCTAGTCCAAATCGTTGTTTACTTTGGAACCCTCTTTTTCACTGAGCTCATCAGAGTAATTCCCAACATTTTGTTGCCTTTACCGGACTCCTCACCCCCTAACAGGCGGGCGAAGGAGGTGATGGACCTGGACAGGGGGAGATTTCTCCCTGGTGGTGAGTCTGGTCCCAGGAAAATCCCTCCAGAGGCCAGAAAAGTCCTCCCCCTCCCCGCCGCAGCCCCCCTCACCCGCTACCTCGTAGGTGCTGGTGATTCCCAGTTTGTAGAACACCGGGAGGAAGACCTCCGCGCTGATGACCACCACGAGGAAGTACGTGATGGCAAAGATGCTGAATATGGCCCCAAAACGGTAGACTTCGGAGGGGGTGCCCAGGACGGTGACTGCAGACATGAAGCTGGCAGTGAGGGACAGCGCCACGGGCACGGCGGTCATTCTGCGGCCGCCCATCAGGAAGTCCTTGGAGGTCTGCTGGCCGCCCCCCGCGAAGGCGTAGTAGATGCCGATGACGGCCGAGATGAGCAGCATCGCGGCGAACACCACGTAGTCCCACACCCCGAAGGTGCCGATGGCCCGCGGCGTGTCCATGGCCGCGCGAACTGGCGGCCCGCGGCGCGCAGCCCGAGCAACAGCGTCCCCTCGGCCCTGGCGCTCGCCTCTTACTTCCAGCACCGCGGGCGTGGCGCCCCGCGGGGATTGGAGGCGTGGTCCAGGTGTGAGTCCTGCCGGCTCCGGGCGCCGGGAGGTGGGAACGTGCGAACGGGCAGCCGCCGCGCCCGCCGCAGCCAGCCGAGCCCCTCTAACTGGCACCTGCAGAGCCGTCGCCACGCTAAGCATTCACCTGGTGCCAGGCCCGGGCGGCCAGGAGAGCCGAGCGCCGCGGGCACCCGGGCAGGTGGGAACTGGAGCCTCCAGCCGCGCCCTGAGAATGCACGCGCTCAGCGCAGGCTTTAGCAAGGGGCACTGAGAGGAGAGGGCGCCCCGCTTAAACGAGCAGGCGACTGATGGGGGAGTGCAGGTTGAAGGGCAATTTGGCAATTTGACACGCCTGTACTTTTTACTTTCCAGTTCAACAGTCTGGGTCTTTATGAGAAGATACATCTAGAGTTTTTAGATGGCCTTATTGATAAATTAATGGGCAATTCGAGTGCGCAGTGAGCTGACATCCCCCTCCTTAGAGAAGGATTACAAAGGAGAGGAAGAAGCCTGTGCTATTGGTTGCCTGCGTTTTTCATTCAACAGACATTTCTGACCCCCAATATTCTTTTCTATAAGTGATAGTTGCTATAATATTAATACTACTACTACTTAATGAACCTTACATGTGACACACAACGTGCTCGGCACCTTCTACATCAACTAGTGTAATTCTTACTATACCTTTCCACAGGAATCATCACCATTTTTCCAAATGTGGAAACTGGCTGAGAAATGTTTAAACACTTGCCCCAGGAAACGGTGGAGATTAAAATGTTCAATCCAGGTCTGATACTGGAATTTGTTCTCTTAATCACAATGCCGTACTTTGTAGAGTCCAAAGTAGACAGATATGTGTCAAATGTAGGCACAAATATGTACACTTAAATACTTAAATGAAGAGATAACTTGATAGCATATGGAAGGCAAGACCATTTCCAGTATCGGTACTCAGGACGTATTTTAAGTGGCTTGCCTTGAAATATTACTAATAACATGTGAGTCATGCTTGTAAAGCAGTGTGATTCTTGGGGTTTTCTTCTCCAGTGCGCCCAGGCATAGGTCTATTTCAGGCCATCTTTGTTCATTTTCATACATCTTCATAATTTACCAGTTGACCGTTAGTAAACAATGCACAGAATGCGTTTAGCCCAGCCCAGTATGTGAAGGAAGCTATATCAAATTTTATTTTGTGAAACTGTCACTATTTGTATAACATTTTCAGAAGGAAATAGAAACTGAACCCAAGTAAATCAATTATGTAAACAAATACATGTTTTGGAATTACGCCTCCACTCTGTCAGCTTTACTGTACTTGCACTTACTTTGATTCTCTGGGACAGAGACAGTATTTTCTCCTGTTCTCACTGCCTGGAGTTCAGACTCAGACGTCATTAAAAAAATCTCTGTAAGTTACAGCATCCACTGCATCTGAGGTTCTTCTATTTCCGTCCAAACTGTAGCGCTCTCCCTGTGAGAATGATGCCTCCCAAGGTGCACCGGGCCCTGCAGGGTGCTCTACCGCATTAGCACACCACCCACCAGAGGATTAAGGGAGGTGATAAGATCTGTGGGGGTGACAGCCTCTGACTGTACAGAGGAAGAGGCACTGTGGTGGAAAGCACCCAGAAAACAGATGGCTGGCTGCCCAATTCTCTGATGGGGTAGATATGAGTATGAGCCCAGCAGAGCAGTGGGGGGGACAAGAGGTCTTCCCGTCTACTTTTAGGGAGGTATTTCCTTTTCAAAATGGGCCATGAAGTGTTCTTGGTCTAGATAAATGTGCCTTCCTAGCTATATACATCCTATAGTGTCTAGACTCAGACCTCTTTTCCTACCCCTTCTCCCCATTTACTCCAGAAATCAAAATAAAATGTCCAAAGCAAGATAAATTTTTATTTCTCTTTCACATTTAAAGATGAATTTTCTAATTCTAAATCCTGGGAGAGGATTGGTATAACTTGAGTTGTGACTGGACCTCTGATCTAATCAGCCTTGGTCAAATGGGCAAGGCTCCATTGTGGCTGCACAGACTCACCCTGAGGCGAGGAATGGGACTACTTTTCCCTGTAGGAGGGTGGTGAGCTGGCTAGAAACTCTGAAAGGTGTCTCCTCTATTAAATCTGTGTCATTTATCAGCTCCTGTGAGAAGGATATTAGCAACTTGGGAAAAGGGACTCTTCCCCAAGTCATCTTTTTAATACCAAGTGTTTGTAAATTCCCAGAAACCAGCCCTGCGTGTTGCCTAAAGAAAATGCTACACCTGTTGTTGCATTGACCCTACTTTGCAATGTTTGTTGGCATCAAGATTTCCCAAAAATTTCTAAGAGTGAAATTTGGAAATCTGAGAGTGATCTTACTGGGTTCTGAATTTAGACTTAATTCATATGCATACTTACCTCTCAGGGAGGAAAAAAAGCCTCTTTTCTCTTGTTTTGGAGAGGGATATTAAAGGAAAATATACTACAAACATAATTCCATACTGTCTGCTTATTCTTTACCTTGAAATCATAATCACAGTTACTAGGAGGCTCTGAGGATATCTCTCTGAAATGGCAAAGGAAGATATGAATACAGGAATTCCTTTACAGTAGAGTATTTTCTTAACATCCTTCCGCCTAGGAAGACTGAGTAAAGTTGGGAATTAAAGGCGAGTACAATTGCCATGGCCATCACATGGCTTGCCCTGGGAGAGGTGTATGTGAGTCAGTACTTAGCATCTCTATGACCTCCCTCCCACACACACACACGTTTTCTTTTATTTTGTTCCTTTCTCACTGGGTCTTACTCTAACCAACTCAGTGTAATCAATTCTGAGTTGGAGTACTAAGTACTTTTATTAAGTAATGTGATCAACCAACTCAATCAATGTGTTGGAAAAGTTTTATCTCATGCCCTGGCATGCTTCCTGCTAGATAATTAGGGTTATGGAACTCCTCACTTTTCTCTTTTTGCAGAATTGCCACGGCCATTTATAGGAAGGCCAACTTTTGTGCTGTCACAGCCCATGTCCTTCCCCTGGCTTTCTGGCCCAAAGAGTTCCCTTCTTTTGCTACTCAATTTTGTTGTTTTCCCCCTTTTTTCAGCCTTTTCTGTATTTATGTATCTTTTATTGCACGTAATCTCAAATCCTCTTTTGAGTACAGAAAGTCATACACAAAGGAAAAATAGGTAGCAAAATATGTTGCTTACATTCTGCTGTATTCTGAAATACCACTGAAATGTCCTCAAAGGGAAAAAAAGATGTTAACTGGTAAGGACAAAGAGAAGGTGAAAGGAAATGACTGCCAATAAAAGACTTAGTACAATTTTGGAAGAATGAATGCAGAAAAACAAGTGAAAATGACATAGGTTTCAGCTTTCCTCACTTGTTAAGTACCTTAAGGGAAGAAAGCCATCAGGAACAAAACAGTTTACCTATAAAACGCACTAGGAGACAGAAATCAGGGACGTCATATAGCTCTCCAGGTGGGGTATTAGGTAGAATGAGAAACAGGAAGACTTAAGTCAGGAGAGCTTAGAGACCCGCAGTCAGCTAAGTGCTCTCTCTTCTAGGAAGAGAACTAAAGATACCTGCTAGAGAGGTTAAACTAAAAAGAGTCTGGCTGAGGACACTGGTTACGGCTAAGGGCTGCAGTGAGGCATTTTCCTAGAAAACAGGGATTACAGAAAGTTTATCTAACAAATGGTGAGACAGCCTCCCCATCCTCTGTCTTGCTAGTCTCCAGATGCCAACTACCACATGTTTATACTCCTTCAAGCAGGACTGGGAAGAAACCAACCAGCCCAAGAGAATGCTCACATTTAGTGTTCTATAAAGAGGCAGGGCCCCCACCTGACCACACTAAAGTGAGCATTCCCCGCATCCACATGCCCAGCCTTCACACGGTTTCCTACTAGCTTATGGGGCCCTCTCTCCTTACGATGAATGGATAGTCAGGGAATCACTAACCATCTCAGAAAAACCTTTCCCATAAAAGACAGAGACCAAAACAGACTGGAAAAGAAACATTACGAAAATAGATTCAATGTAGGAAGCAAAGGAAAACCTTAAAAATCTAGTTATTTTCTGAGAAAACAAGGAAAATTCTGTATTTGTGAAATGTGAAGAGTTTGCTATTACAATGTCACATTAAGAGAGTAAGAAGGAGCTCTTGGAAACTAAGAAATATAGGAGCATAAATTAACAGTTTATGGAAGGGTTAGAAGAATTGAGGAAACCTTTTATAGAGCAGAACAAAAATACAAAGATGAAAAATGGGAGCTAAAAGAAATTTAGATGTTCAATCCTGGAAGTCTAAAACATGCTTATAGGAATTCTAGAGAACGAATGGAGAGAAGGACATTATCAAAGGAAAATTCAAGAAAATTTCCCCAAACCTGAAGAACATGATTCTTCAGACTGAAAGTGCTTTCTAAGTGTGTGGACAGTGAATTTAAAAAGACCCTCATCAAGACCCAACATTGTGAAATGTCAGAACCACATGTATAGAGAATCCTAATTATTATAGAGAAAACGAAAAAGTCACATACAAAGATCAGAAATCAGTATGGCATCAGACTTCTCAAGAGTCTGACTGAAAGCTAGAGGATAAAGTATCTTCAAAGTTCTTTCTAAAATTCTATACCCCATCGATCAATCAAGTGTGAGAGGAGAATAAAGATATTTTCAAATATACAAGGTCTCAAATGTTTTACTCCCGGCATTTAGCATTTCTTATGAAGCTCCTGGAGAATGTGTTCTATAAAAACAGGGAGAAAATGCAGAAAGAGGAAGGCTCAGGGGTCAGGAAACAGGATTCCAGGTGTACTAGTAAGCAGCTAGTCCATACTGGAGCAGGAGGTCAGAAGGCTCCATGTGGAACATGTACAAGAAAAGACAGTGGAACAGAACATATAGATGGCCTTGTGGGTTTGGCCTTTATGAGAGAGTAGATTTAAAATTTCAAAAAGCGGAGTGATAAAGTGATAGCAGGTCCATAGAAATTTAGCAAAATCCTTCCCACGAAATATGTTAGGTTGTACAACCACCAAATTGACAAAAGCTAAAGTCAGATAATACCACCAGTTGGTGAGAATGTGGAGCACTGGAAACTTACATATAATGTTTGTATATAAGCATTTTGGAAAA